TCATTGCTTAGGTTGGCCCTTGTCCCACAAGGAGGTCGTTCTAGTCTTCAAGTTGTCATTACTTTCTTTTCATTAAACTACAGAGACACATTATGTCGTGGTGTGTGTGTTTGTGTTGTGTAGTGGTGTAGTGGGTGTGGTGTGTGTGTGTGTGTGTTGTGTGTGTGTGTGTCTGAAGCGGTCTTCATGCGGCCGGTTTTTTGCTCACACACAAGACACTCACAGGTGATCTTTATTGGTACTGATTAGGCATTCGGTCTTAGGCATCCCATTTGCGTTTCGTTATTTCTATTTCTACTGTCCTCCTTTATGTTTCCTTTTGTCGTCTACAGTCCACATCTCCCTGTTTCATCTGCCGCCATTCGAGGAGCTGTCATTGCCAAAATGTTACAGAGCATTCTGTAGACATTTCCAAGAAATTCCCATCTTCTCTGGTTGATAACGTTTCATCGTGAATTCATATTCAGTTCTTCATCGGTGATCTTGTTTCGCCACAATAATCGCAGATTTCTCTTTAGATATTTATGTTAGAAAGTCTCTACTTTATGTGTAATTCCTGCCGTCATGTTCTACTTTTTCCGTTTTTGTTGTACTTGCGTTTAATGTTCCATCTTTGTTAGATATGCCCATGTAATCATTTACCTATCAACTACTACATCTTTGCCTGTCTTGTGTCTGCCCCCCCCCCCCCCCCCCAGGCCCGCCTCCCCCCCCCCCCGCCCGCCTTTCCACCCAGCACCACCACGATACCTTTCTACCCCTCCCTGTTAAGCTTGCTGGTCATAGTTCAGCGAATTCACATCACTTCTACCTACACACATTTTCATATCTGTTGATTCCTGTATAGAGAGTCACTTATACATGAGATCAAGCTGAGCATTGCATTCCAGACTCTGTCCAATGTCCAATTGAATCATCTTATAGCACAAGATATTTTCTCAATTTCCATGAAAGCAGCTTGTTCCTGGTCTAGCTTGTTAATTCTCTTTGCCGTACATCTTCCATCTGACGGTTTCAAATGTAAATATGTAGAAGTAGTTGGCCATTTATCTTATAAATAAAAGTAATTAACTACAGAGGGCGTCGATAGACTGGGCATGAATGAAATGAAAGAACGTATAACTAACTCTTTTGTTTGTATAATGACTCCATTAGACAAATGATGACATTTTAGTTGCACTAGTGGAACTGTTTTTCACATACACGGATCAAAATACTAAGCAAAATAAATCCATAGCTAATTTGCGTGTGTACAACAAGAGAATGCAAACTGGCATACCTGCCACAGCTCCGGTAGCAAAGCTAGCCAGATTGCCAGCAAGAAAGGCGACCAAAACAATGTCGATGACATCTTGTTTCCTGGCTGGACACATCGCGGTCATGGAGCCAATACATATCCCAATTGCAGTGATGGCTGAGAAACCACACATGGCATAGGTGGTGATCACTTCTGATCGTACCTGTCATGGAAGGTATCGTACGTTTTATTGGACGAAAATTAAACAGGATAAACACTACTATGCCCTTGTGTGTTCCAGTGCAAAGATATTCTAATTAAATCGTTTTCTCTCGTTTTTGCAACGGTTGCCCTATCCGCATCAGCGTCGTTTTTTCACCTCTTGGTCCACAGGAACCTGTTTAGTTCACTCACTCCAAACTCTTAACAATAGTGATTCTGTTATATCATTCAATTCCCTCTATTCTGTGCAGTCACAAATTAACAAATGTGTGTGGCCTATTAGTAACTGTCTGAGTTTTTTTTCATTATTTCCGCTCCATACAGCAGTACAGATTTGGCATTAAAATACACAATTCTAAGTTTAGTGTCAGTTTAGATTTCTTGTCAAATCTTCTCCCTCGAAGTGACTTATTTAACATGTGGAGAGCTACTAGGAGAGTCACATTATCTAAGCTGATAAGTATAAACTGTCCAGAATTCTGTTCATGTCGTAAGGTGCCAGATCCATATGTTTACAGATCAACTGGTGCTCAATAATTCATGTGGTTAATATTGTACCGACCTGTTTTACTTTCCCAACCATTGTGGTGGGAACCACTTGTGGTGGGTATCACTTGTGGTGGGTACCACTTGTGGTGGGAACCACTTGTGGTGGGAACCACTTGTGGTGGGAACAACTTGTGGTGGGAACCACTTGTGGTGGGTATCACTTGTGGTGGGTACCACTTGTGGTGGGAACCACTTGTGGTGGGAACCACTTGTGGTGGGTATCACTTGCGGTGGGAACCACTTGTGGTGGGAACCACTTGTGGTGGGTATCACTTGTGGTGGGAACCACTTGTGGTGGAAATCACTTGTGGTGGGTACCACTTGTGGTGGGAACCACTTGTGGTGGGAACCGCTTGTGGTGGGAACAACTTGTGGTGGGAACCACTTGTGGTGGGAACCACTTGTGGTGGGTATCACTTGTGGTGGGAACCACTTGTGGTGGGTATCACTTGCGGTGGGAACCACTTGTGGTGGGAACCACTTGTGGTGGGAACAACTTGTGGTGGGAACCACTTGTGGTGGGTACCACTTGTGGTGGGAACCACTTGTGGTGGGAACCTCTTGTGGTGGGAACAACTTGTGGTGGGAACCACTTATGGTGGGTACCACTGCTGTGCTGGGATTATCTCGGAGGCCAGGTCAATTTAAAATTCTGCTTCGGCGTGTATTCAAACTTACGACGACCAGGCAAGCGAGGCTAATCAGTATGATCACCATCATCATCATCTTTCTCCTCCTCATCATAATAGTCACAATAGTCCTATGTCACCACTCTCGGTGGATCACCAGTGCTGTGATGAGGAAGCTCAAATCTACACTGAAAGATTAGCACCATGTGAAGCAAAGTGTAACTATTCAGATAAAAATCTCCCAGGAACAAATCGCAGACACCGCGCTCAACCAGGACTTTATATTAGGGTCCCGACGGTTACAAGTAGCCTGAAGCCTAACAGGGTTGAACAATACCAGTTGCTGTTGACTATCTTATCAACTCTCTCTCTCTCTGCCTCTGCTGGTCAGATGCAATGGACATGATGTTTCACTGTTTCAGGCTTGTCCAGTTAACCACATTCTATAACCAGGTTGGTGTTTTTCCCCTGCCTCGTCTCCTCTAGTGAACGCTAATCTACATATGTCAGTTTACCTCCAGACAGAGACGCACACTTATAACTATACCTGAGGCATTATTTAAAATGGCTACTCACCGTCATAACCCCGTACGGTAAAGTTTTGTTGATTGAATCTAGGACAATGTCCGGCCCTGACCAGTGCCAAGAGCTGTTGGCAGTCTTCATGTAAGCCTCAAATATCTTCCTGTTCTGGTAATATAAATTCACTCATTATCTCCCCTGACAGAAGTTAGTGAAACGTTGAATACGTCAGCGTGCATTACTACACAGAATATGTCAACATATAAAAAAAAAAGTAAAAGTAAAGGACCCTTTCCACGCCTTTAGGCGTATAGGGCATATAGGGCTAGACCTATATTTTTATAGACCAACTGCACAAGATGGGTGATGTGGTCAGCATCACGCCGGCCGCCTCTACTTCCCGGGATTGCACCCGGTACCCACTCAAGGCTGGGTCGACCTGGGAGCCGAGGTCATTTTTGAAGAAAAGTCCGTCTCTACCAGGGAGCGAACCCACGACCTTCCGATCCGCGGCGCGCGTCTAGCCGCTCTGCCACGGCGACTCCCGTCAACATATAAAGTTACACAAAAACCAAACTTTTGTAAATAAATGTCACAATTGTTATTGTCTCTTGTTAAATTGCACACCACAAAACTCAAAAACCGAAATCAAGGATAAACCACAAGGTCTCATTGTTAATATAACGCGGACTGTCCATTTTAATGTTCCTGATAAGAAATGAAGAAATGTGCAAGACAAAAAATAAGTTATGCAATATTTATTTGTGACGTAACAATTTTTTTTCATTTTTGCTAATTTTCTCTCAAATTGGAAAGGGGAAATTTTGTTTGTTGAACGAATTAAAGCGCAAAGTACATTGCTTAAGTGTGACGAAGTTACACAATCAATTGATATTTTATGCTGTCTCTCTCTCTCTCTCTCTCTCTCTCTCTCTCTCTCTCTCTATCTCTCTCTCTCTCTCTCTCTCTCTCTCTCTCTCTCTCTCTCTCTCTCTCTCTCTCTCGTCTGCAGTGTAGCATACTGATGATACACGTCATTTTCTTCCTCTCACCCGTCCTCCCATGTCGGATCCACACTTCATTCCTCGTTCACACACTCTTGCCCATGTTATTTCATCTAATCTCGTGTCTTTTGTCAGCAATCGTCCTTACGTTGTCTTCAGAATATCTCCCTTTTCAGTACGAGAATCCCCGTAGCTTTCGCTTTTGTAGCCAGAAAATTCGCTCCTTTATTCCCTTGATCTCCTGCATATCCCGGACAGTATATCCACACGATTCCTTGCAATGTTGGTCTACTGATACTTAATATCCGCTCCATTTTGAACCATCCGCAGTGCCGAATGAGAATCAGTCGATTTTATTCTTTATAATAACTTTGTCTATAATATTTACATTAAAATTCGTCAGTCTGTCTTTTTTGTATTTAATAAAGAGAGAATATATAACATTCTGCTGATACTCGCCGGTTAGCTCTCCTCCTAGGTTCATGGACCTCTGAACGGTGTATTATAGCTCCAGGACTACTATAATGAATGTGCAATTTCACCTGTACTTTTCAATGTTTTTACGAGCAAGACTGCCTGCCTGGAAACACCTGAAGTTGGCAGAATATTGACACTTGCAGATTATGGTTTCGTAGATAGGAAGGGGAGAGATCAGAATAAAAAAGCTGAAGAGTTACAGGCGACAGTAGATAAGGTGATTGTCTGATGTACAGTGATGAGTGGTGTAATCAACCCAGAAAAGACAACCGTCCTGTGGTGTTCTTTGGACAACAGGACTGTTAGAGCTGATGTTCCAAGCCTTAAAAAAAAAACAAATTGCAGGGACATCAAAAGAGACAGCAGACAGCAGTACCTGGGCATCACCTTTGACAGAAATTAGTCTTTCAAGGTTCACATAGAGGGGGTTTTGACAAAGGCTCAAAAAGGTCCTAATGCAGTAAAGATTATGGCAGCGATGGACACGGAGTAGAGAATGCTGTTCACATTTTACCAGTGCCTAATCAACTCAGTGATTGATTATGGATTGGGGTTACTCACTGTCTCGAAGAGTCAGCTAGAGACACTAAAGCGCATACAGAATGAAGCTATGCGGGTGATCCTGGGATGTACAAGAGACACCCCGATTGTGTGCATGCGATACATCCTTGCATTGCCGACTGTTGAAGATAGGCTAAAGGTGCTGCAGGCTAAGTCATACCTCAGAGTAACTGCAGACAAATAACACCCTCTGTATCAAGTTTTGGCTGCAGGTAAAGGTCAGAGGCTGAAAAGGGGCACATCGTGGAAGGCTCAAGGAGAAGACACAATAAGACAAGTATGCATTCTGGAGATATTAGGCGAGGAAAGGAGTCGGTCGGAGTAGAAGCGGGAAAGTCTGTTCTGTGTAGGGTTATGATCAAATTGGGCTGGGAGTGCAGAGAGTGGCCAGCGGGTGCTACAGAGGTGAAAGTCCAACAGTTGATTCACGACAATCCACTCCCAGGTGATCTGATTATCTATACAGATGGTTCGGTGTTGAGAGGAAAGCGAAGTGCCTGGGAGTTCGTAGCTAAAACCAGTGAAAAATCTGTGGTGCAAGACAGCCTAGCATATGACACCACAACATTTAGCATGAGAATTGAGGTGGAGGCGGTAACTGCAGCTCTCCAGTGGCTAGAGAACAAGATGTATACACACGTGTAGTAATTGTAGCAGACTCTGAAAGCATGCTGAGAAAGGTGAAGACAGGGATGCTTCGAGCAGAGTGGCAAGCTTCACTGGAAAGGTAACTGGCAGTGAGCATACTTTGGATCTTTTTTCTATGCTATGCCGGCGATGTGGGTGTTGAACAGGCAGACAGACAGATCTGCACCACTTGGTGGTGAACTGATACATGACAAGGCAGATGTGTTCAAGGCTCTGTGAGAAAAAGCAACGGAATCAGTAGAAAAACAAGATTATGGTCTGGAGAGAATGAGGCATCTGGGTGTAACTACAGGGTCTGGCCGGCGCACTACACTCAGAGGAAAGGCAAGAGCGATATATAACCAGATTATGACCGGTACTATCAGTATTAAAACTCTGCGCTGGCTGCCGAGCATGAGGACGGGAGCACACATGGGAATGCCCCTAGTGCTGTGATGTCAATTCTTGACTCAACTTAACTCAGCTCATTCAACATTAACAAAGCAGATGTTCTCAAAATTGTTACCACTGTTTATGGATGTTGTGGCATGTCCTGCAAAGAAGTTTTTTTTTTTTTTTTTCATTTCTGCATTCATAGGGCCATTCTCCTTCAAATTTCTTTTCAACAGCCCTTGTTGAATTTAATTATAGAGCCAAGGTTTTCGAATTGTGTGACATTTTCAAAGTCTTCATTGTTGATTTTTTTTTTTTTTTTTTTTTTTTTTTTTTTTTTTTTGGGGGGGGGGGGGGGGTGGGGGGGGGGGGGGGGGGGGGGGGGGGAGGGGGGGGGGGGGGGGGGGGGGGGGGGGGGGGGGGGGGGGGTGGGGGGGGGGGGGGGGGGGGGGAATACACACAATTTTGTATGTAAATAAACAAACCTCGTCTCTATCAGGCTTGTGGTCTCAACACCCTTTTATGTGGCAGTGAAACTGTGTCAACTTTTGAGCACGACGAGACGAGAGACGGCTAAACAGCTTTCACATGCGATTTCTATTAAAAATACTTGGCTATAAATGGCAGGACAATATTACAAACACTGAGGTGTTTAAAAGACCTAGTATTACAACCATTTTTCCTAATGCTTAGTCTCCTGAAAACTCAGGTGGCAGGCTATTTTACAGACTAATTGGCACTAAGTGGGTGATGTGGTCAACATAACACCGGCTACCTTTACTTCCCCCGACTTTACCTCCTACTTTTTTAAGGGTGGATGTGACAAAGAGAATAAAATATTAACCAACAACAAAATTTTTTTTTTAAATCGCCAAAAAACTTGCAGCTAACTAGAAATGACAAAGCCAACCGCTGACCTGTATCATCTTGCCGAGTTCAGCATAGCCGACCATGGGCGTGGCGAAGAGTTTGATTCCAATGAGCGCTCCTACTCGACCACAGTCTTCAGGTGGCGCTCCCATGATGTAGGCGAAACGGATATAACAAGTAAGCACAGATAAACTGCAACACGCAATAATAATACTAATAATAACAACAACAAATACAATAATAATAGAGACAAGATTTCTTGATCGAACGTGACTGGATCAAAACCGCACAAGGAAATAACCGTTAACCCAAGATAAATATTTTACATTGACTTCCGGGTCATTCTTGTAAATCTGGTGGTGTGCGGAGTGAATGCTCTCATTATGAGACGCTGGGAAATAACGCGGTCTAGTGTTAACTTTCTTACTTCTTGATCTGTCGTGTTCAAAGTATCCTTCCTATTGTGTTTCTATCGTCTTACTAATCAGTCCCTGCCTGTTTGATTGTGGTTAATTAATCAGAAAAAAATAGTACCTGTTAACCCCCCCCCCCCCCTTTCCCTATTGACCCTTTTCCCTACATAAGCAGTTGTTTCCTCTCAGAACTTGTAGTTTTAAATAGGAGACCGCCTGTACCAACGATTTGATATAATTTAAATAGAGAGGTTTACGGAATGTTCAGCTGTTCAATCAGTACAATAGATAGGGAGTCTCCCGGTGAAGGATGAAAGAGTCACTGATCTTTGTGATTTAAATAACTGGTATTACTAAATGTTGTCACTATCAAATCTTCAACAGCCTAATTGAGATAGAGCCATATAGAACCAATGCTCGTCGAGGACTTTGCTGCTCAGATGGCCACTGAAAACACCACAACAACCTCCTGTCCTCTAGTCCACTTCAAAATTCATTAGAGAAAGTAAAGAGCTGGGCACAGAACTGATGACTAAAACTGTCATTGACCAACTATTTTCTGATTTCATCTACTCGTCTAAACATAAATAATATCAATCTCCTCCCATTACTTTCCAATTAGCCGACCACAAGAGGGTAAATGTTCACTCTGTGTTCAAAGCACCTTTCTTCCCTATGAACTGTCAGTTCGAAGTCGTTGGCACAATGTGAAACGACATGTTTTGTTACGCTGTCCAATATTCTGTAATAATAAAGACAATGCTTCCAACTACTGTTGTACGAAAAGTCATCACATAAGTCTGAAACTAAAACAAACTAAACTTATTGGAACTGTATATTTTCTCTCATTCACACAAGGAGATACTATTATTGAATTTAGATAATCAACAAATATACATCTACCCACTTTGGGGTGAAAGAGGAGGAGGAGTTACACTAGACACCCGGCACACCCGGAAGCCAACCTCACAGCTGGAAATCAAATCAAATTAAAAGGCTTACAAAGATTCGCTGCAATGCAAACAAAAAACTTGATTGAACATACCGTGGAGCTAGTACACGGTACTAGCAAAAATAAACTTATGTAACCTATAGGAAGATTACAAAATTGGTTTATAAGTAGCACATGGAGCAATGAGAAGCACCCACATAGACAAAACAAATCCCTTACGTAACCTAGAAAGTTAAAGAGGCTTCCAGACCATCCTCCTAATCATAGATTTGGAGAAAGGAAACAATTTTCAAGAAATGAATAAATCATTTAGCAAGAAAAACTGTCACATACAAATAAAAATTGACATGCAAATATTGAAGCTCTCGCAGCAGAACTGTGCATCAACTTTCCATTCTCATTAAGGAAAGTTCTGGAAGTACCGGAATAATCTTCAAGAAACAACAAACTGAGTCAGAACTAATAGTTCCTTTACATTATATAATTATAAATCAGTATCCCTCCAATATTTGGAGGCGTATGTTTGGAGACAATTTTGGTAAAGAAGCCACACAAAAGATGTGGGCGAATCTACGTTACACGCACTGACTGTAACACAGGGAAACACTCTGTATCGGATCGGAAGCTTGCACCAACCTCCGAGCAGAGACAGCAATTCCTATTTGAACTAAGCAGACTCACAGTAGCCAAGTTTTAACTAAATAAAAAGCTGTTGTATTTACTAAAGTAAAGTCAGTCTTGCAAGCCACCTCAGGCTCTAAACAGGACAGCACCAACTATGCAGTTACAAACAATCTGATCCTGCCCACAGAACTAGGCCCCGAAAGAACTCCTCTACTATGGACCCACATCAATGGAAATGTAGTGGCTTACGAATGAGAAGAAAACCTCATGCAGCCCCATTTGTTTCACAGCTTTGAAAAGCCAAAGACACTCTAGAATCAATCTACGATGTTGAACTGGAGAGAAAACTACCAAAATTACAGACCCGAGCTAGTTGTTAGACAAAAAAAAAAGAAAAAAGATAAAAAAAAATTAAACTTGCCATTATAACTGTTTGTACAGTAACAGAAAATATATTTCAATCCAAGGAACAGACACGAGAACTTGTAGACAACTGGCAATATTTCTAGGAAGAGGAAGTTGATAAAGCAAAGAGATAAATACTTGGACGCCTGGCCACGTGCAGGGGCGGTGCACAATACAAGAGCACCACCGTTTCCACAATTCTACTATTCTACACTTTTCGTCGCCCAACTTCTGAGTTGAGTGCATGTCACTGTGAGTTGCGGATTTTATTTGGAATGTTTTTCGACTGTGACCTACGTGTTAGTGTGAATTGTAGATTCAGAAAATGGCGTTATGCCTGTTGTCGCAATATTGGTGGTTTTATTATGTAATCAAAATTAATCGCGTGTGCAACTGCTGATCTGTTGGTGACTTCTGCTACCATTCATAATGAACTGCATTTCTAATGTCGGACTGTTTGTGTTAGCACTTCGGATGGCTACCGTGTGCTTTTAATGCGTGTGTATGTTAGATATGCTTAGACAGTAGTCTGTCAATCTTTCTACAAGCGGTTGTGATAAACATTATGTGTGTTTTTCCTTGGCACAGGAGTGGAGCAACTATGGGGTGACCCGTTTGCTATGAAGCAGAAACTAAGATGACCAGATGACGGCGGTAGATGACCAGATTCTACTGATCGTACAGGGTAGTGAATGGTGACACCCTAGAAATTTTGACATGGCACATGGTGATATTTGCATGGAGAGGAGGGCGCTGGGAGATTTTGTCACTATTGAAAAGGGAAGTTGGGGGGGGGGGGGGGGAAGGGGAGGCACACAAAAAAAAAGATTTGAGATACACTGGCCTAAAGAATCTGCTTATTTGAAGAATATCTATGTCAAAATTACTAATGTCAAGAACATCATTGGTGAAACATCCATGCTAAGAGTCAAGAACATCATTGTGAAACATTAATGCCAAGAGTCAAGAACATAATTGGTGAAACATTAATGCCAAGAGTCAAGAACATCATTGGTGAAACATCAATGCTAAGAGTCAAGAACATCATTGGTGAAACATCCATGCTAAGAGTCAAGAACATCATTGGTGAAACATCTATGCTAAGAGTCAAGAACATCATTGGTGAAACATCCATGCTAAGAGCATATATAGATAACATCTATGTCAAGAACGTATGTCGAAAACGTTTATATCCAGAACATTTATGTATTTAAAAAAAAACACACACACACACACCTCTATGTCAAAAAATATGTATGAAATAAAAAACTATAGGCCGGTCTGAATACCGAAATATAACGAAGATGAGATAGGGGTGAATGATTTAATCAATGAATCAGTACTGACATCAAAACTGTGCCAGTCATTGATGAATGATTGAATCAATCAATTATTGAGTACTTAATTAAAACAATGCCAGTCATGGGTGAATCATTGGATCAATCAATGAATACTTCCAAGATTGAGCTTTTCATGCATAAATGATTACACTAATTAACGTTACGTACATAACTGATCTTGTCATTGATGAATGATTGAAAGAAGGCTAAGTCAGCTATGGATGTGTGACTGAACTAATGAATTAGTGCTTACATCAAAGCTTAAGCCATCCACTCCTGCCCTTTTACCAAACCAGTTAAGGATGTTGTCCGTCATGTTGATGAGTGACACAAAAGCCATCATGTTGGCAGCGATAGGCAGCAAGATATGGAATGCCATAACAGCACCGTCTGCACACACGGACAATGCGTTCTTTCTCTTGCTGTAGGACAGACAGAAATAATGACTGCTTGTTTGGTTGGGTATTTGGTTGGCTTGTTGGTTGATTGGTTGTTTGGTTGGCTGTTTAGCTTATTGGCTGAGTGATCAGTTGGCTGTTTAGTTTATTGGCTGAGTGATTAGTTGGCTGTTTAGTTTATTGGCTGAGTGATTAGTTGGCTGTTTAGTTTATTGGCTGAGTGATTAGTTGGCTGTTTAGTTTATTGGCTGAGTGATTAGTTGGCTGTTTAGTTTATTGGCTGAGTGATTAGTTGGCTGTTTAGTTTATTGGCTGAGTGATTAGTTGGCTGTTTAGCTTATTGGCTGAGTGATTAGTTGGCTGTGTTGTGTTGCCAGTTTGGCTGTTGATTGTTAATCTTAGTGACTGTGTGATTGGTTGATATGTGTGTGTCTGGCGATTAGTTATATAATCGGTTGGTGTTTAATGATTGAAGAATAGAAATGAAAGTACGGAGGACATACCCTTAGACGCCCCGTCTCCAGCAGCAAATGTATTGTGGTGAAGATTCATAATATTCTCATAGCACGCTGATTATACGTCGTTCTCATCTTTGCCCACTTCCCTCCTCGACAGACCCCTTCCTAATCCTGCGTTTACTTATTCTTACACATGTTATTTCACCTTATCTCGTGTCTTCATTCAGCATTCTTTCATAAATGGTCTTCAAGATTTATATTTGTCCAGTACAAGAGTTCATGTAATTATCGCTTTTTTTAGAGAAAAAATCCGCTCTTTCATGTCCTCACACTCCTGTATATCAAGCAACGTCCATGTAGTATTGTCGTGCTGATGCTTGGTATACACTCATGTTACAGTTTGTCACCTATCGCAGAACCCTCTGAGAATCAGACACCAGAATTCCACTTGTAACTCTGGGCAAAGGTAAAGTGGCGAGATGTGAACCAGCGTCATTGCACACGGTTATAAACCAAAAGTGCTCTGCCACCAGTACGGACAGCTGATAAGAATCTGTCCGCCTGTGTCAACGTCAGCACGCAACTCGGTAACTACAGCGAAGTTCCTTCATTTACCCCAGAGTGCTAACTCTGGTACCCATTATCTAGAGGCTGGGTGAACCCAGGGAACCGCCCGGTCTCGAACACGGCCGTGGGCTGCAGCGAGTCGCAGATAGATTTAAAAGCGCGTCTCTTATCGACTGCGCTTACACGGCCCCCACTCTTGTAACTCTGTTTTTTTTTTTTATATATCTGCGTAGACAAATGTCAGGGTAGATGGGTTGGGCCCTATCTGCCAGTTCTAACAACACTCCTGAGAAGAAACGAGTAAAGTACAACAAACAGGCAATGAATTGGGAAACTGAGGGACTGAGGACACGAGGACGTGCAAGAGAACCCCTAAAGCGAAAGGTGGTGAGAAAAGCCATCGTCGCCTGACTGGATTCCATCGAAGTGATGGCACAGTAATAATGAATGCAAAAATAAAGATATTGGAGATGCCATGGTCCAGCGGTTAACGCTCGCTTGCGAATCAATAGGTCCTGGGTTCGGGTCCTAAACTTGGCTCCCAGGTCGACGCAGCCTTGAGTGGGTACCAGGTACAGTCCGGCCGGCTTTATGCAGACTACATCACCCACCAAGTTCCGTTTGTTCTATAAAATATAGGTCTAGCCCTATATACCAAATACGCATGAAGATGTAGTTAAGGTCTTTTACTTTACTTCACTTTGAAAATAGATGTAGCACGTGATTAATAAATACAAAAGTGTAATTAAAGGATATTTTTTAAAAAAAGAACAAAATATCGGCTACAACACTGAAACACATAGTAACTGCAGTAAAATAGACTGTATGGAACTCGGATGAAGATAACAGATGAAACCTACTCATTCTCATCCCTGAGTTTCATGTTTGTCTGAGCCGCTGAGTTGACAATCTCAGTTTCAGGGTAGATGACTTTGGTGAGGGCCAAGGCGGCTGGGGCGGAGATAACGGCCGCCGTCAGGAGATGGTTGGCTGGGGCCTGTTGTGACGAGAATATCCGGTGTCTTGTTCAGTCAGATAAACACCATAGGTCAAATGCAGGAGTTAATTGTGTGTGTGTATGTGTGTATGTGAGTATGTGAGTATGTGTGTATGTGAGAGTACGTGTGTGTGTGTGAGTATGTGTGTGTGTGTGAGAGTACGTGTGTGTGTGAGCATGTATGTGTGTTTATTTGTTTATACACATGTTTATTGAGTATTATCTTTTGTGTATAGATGTGTGCGTTTAGGCAAGCATGCATAGACGCATTTTTTGGGGATGATTTGGAAATGGTGATCTCTTAAATTAACTTAGGTCGAAACAATACATTTAGACTGTTACATGAAATTAGGGACTTGATTTTTAGACATTTGTTCTCTTAGTGACTCAAAGAGTCACTTATTTGATGTGGTTACAATAGGAGTATATTCAAGAAATCTTTTTCAACAATATAAAACAACTATGTTAGGGTACATTATTTTTTCTTGGGGGGGGGGGGGGGGGGGGGGGATTGAAACCTGCTTCCCG